ACACATCTCTATCTGCTGAAGGGGGAGGAGTCGTCGGGATGACTGAAGAAGACAGATTTGAGGTTAGAGCTAGCAGCGACAGCTCCAGAAATGATAGGGCTCTGATTGAATTCGAGATGATGAAGGATGATGAGAGAGGGGTTCTGGATGTGTAGCTTATTTAGACTTATCACCTTTCAAGGGAGATGTTGGTCTTGGCTGATGGTGACTTGGCAGAGCAATACTTGGCGTGGGTCGTGAGGAATTTAGTCAAGGTGAGTAAATTGTTTGGGATGTGTTTTGAAGGGATAGAATAGAGGGTGTTGAGTTTATTGATAGAACTTGAAATTAGACTCTTACTAGCAAAAGATGTGTGATTAAGGGCTGCAGGGATAGTGAGAGGTGTGTCTTCTCTGGTATCCATTATAGAGGGAATAATGAGGAGAGGGAGTGGCTCTGGGATGAGTTGGGGAGGGCTAAATGAAGTGGGGTGAGAGGTGGGTGGTGGGAGGAGATTTTACTATGGTTTTACTCATGAGGGACAGGTTAGAGATGGGTACTAGAATGGGAGAGAATGAGAAGTTTAAGGAGATGATTGATATGCTGGAACTTGTGGATCACCCACTTGGGGGCGGGAGGTGGACCTGGTCGAGTGGCAGGGAGTGTTTGTCTTGGTCAAGGATTGACTAGTTCCTTATTTCTAATTGTTTGTTAATGCAGCTTGCAGGTTTAAGCCAAAAAGTCATTAGCCGACCTATATCTGATCATTTCCCAATATGCCTTGTCCTGGAAGGCATTATATGGGGTCCCACACCTTTTACATTGGACAACAAGTGGCTGTTCGTTGAGGGGTTCAGGGTATGGTGGTTAATTGTTGGCAGAATACGGTTGAGGGCACCAACAGTTTCATCTTTACTTCAAAGCTGAAATTCCTTAAAAATGAAATTAAGAGATGGTCAAAGGAGGAGGAGAGCAGATCAGAGAAGGCTTTAAATGAGAATCTTAAAGAACTAGGCTACCTTGACGGTAAAGAGATGGAGGGCAGTTTGGGTGAGCAGAGTAGGATAAGGAGGGAGGAAGTAAGAAAAGGGGTGGTTGCAGTGATGAATCTGGAGGTTGTGTCTTCGAGACAAAAAGCTAGGGAGAAATGGCTTAAGGAGGGGGATAGAAACACAAGATATTTTCACTATTTAGCTAATTTCCATAGGAAAAACAACTATGTGGAGAAACTTTGCTGTAATGGGGAACTTGTGAGAGGCAAGGAGAGTATGAGGAGGGGGGCCAAACAATTTTTCCAGCATCTCTACTCTGAAGATGAATTTAGAAGACCCAACCTTAATAATTTGTATTTTAGGAGACTAGGGGATGAGAGTAGAAATGGTTTGGAGGCTGCGTTCACGGAAGAGGAAATCAAGGGATGCCTTGATGAGTGCAATGGGGAGAAGGCACCGGGTCTGGATGGTTTCAATATGAAATTCTATCAAGTTTTTTTGGAACGTGATTAAGAAAGATGTGCTTGATGTTTTTAATGAGTTCCATAGAACGGGGTGTTTTGTCAAATCCATCAACTCGACTTTCTTGGTGCTTATCTCTAAGGTAACAGGTGCGAAAGATATAAAAGAGTTTAGACCGATTAGCTTGGTGGGGAGTTTGTACAAATTGATTTTTAGAGTGCTTGCAAAGAGACTTTCTAAGGTTTTGGGGGAGGTGATTGGTGAAAACCAGAATGCTTTTGGTGAGGGTAGCAAATTTTTGATGTTGTGATGATTGCCAATGAAGTTGTGGATGATTTGGTGGGGCTGGAAAAAAGAGGGCATATTGTGTAAAATCGATATGGAGAAGGCTTATGATCATATTTGCTGAAATTTTGTGGGCTACATGATGATGAGAATGGGATTTGGAGATAATGGCGCGGTTGGATCATGAAATGCATATCTACCACCTCTTTCACGGTTATGGTGAATGGGGGTTCATCTTCTTTCTTTAATGCTTCTAGAGGTCT